TCGGCAATCTTACCTAATTATACAGTATTGAAAAGAATGAGACTTTCTGCCGATTTGAACAACGCTATGTGTACGATTGCAATCTTGCTTTAGCAATGTCATCTTTTTTGCAAGAGTTTGCTAAATGGGAATGTTTTAAAATCATCTATAAAAAGAATTGTAAAAGGATTGCTCAGATGTTTCTGCTATGACGAGAAACACTGAAATGTAAACTCCTTTCTGTTATAATAGCTTTTTTTGGGCATAGAGACTTTACTGATTTTTGGTACTCTTATAAACCGAAAGTTTGTACACTTTTTAAACTTTTTGTTATTTGTCCATTTTTTGGAAATGTCTCTTTAACAGCTAAAATACTCCTATAGTCAGCATCACCTTGCTTTTTCAGTAAAAACTTTTATCATTTATGTAAAACGATACAACAAAACGACTGGGTAAGATGACTATTGAAATTTTTCTTTTGGTAGAATTCGTGATAAATGAATTAACGATCATCCATAAGGGAATAGATATGAGACATTGAGACAAACTATATAAATACCTATCTACAAGGTGTATCAAAACAACAAAGTCTAGGAAGATCAATCATAGCAAGGAGCAATCTATCTCTGGTCAGAATCTTCTTTAAACGCTCCGTCAACTTATTAACGAGCGTCCTAATTATCTAATAATATGACCCTGTTAAAGGTGCCAATCTATGAAGACAACTATGACAGATGGGCAGAAGTAGTCACTGGATTTCTTCTGCATGCTATTCTGAGAAATGTCTTTTATGTTCCAAATCTGATCACAAACCTACAATTCGTCTCTTTAAAAAGAGTATCTTCCTAAATGAAAACGGACATAACTAAAGAGCCAAAAATAAAAGGAATAGGATTCGACTAAGAATCTAGTCAAGGTTCCTACAAACTATCTTGAAAATGTGAACCCAAGGGCTGATATCAACAAGAGCCTAAAGGACCAAGATTCTGACTGCAGATATGCACGAAAAATATTCTAAAACGACACTCAATAAAAATCTGCTGATTTACGAGAGAGATGAAAGGTTCACGACCTTGAGTTATTTGGAATCCATTGCCTTGGTTATCTCCTCGAAAAACAAACAGCGAATTTCCACGGAATACCAGAGTTTAAACAACGATATTTCTTGAATGGAGTATATAAAAGTAACAGAGGTATTCAATATTGGACAATCCAAAAAGACAAGCCAAGTGGAGCTCAACGTCTCAAAGGAAAAGGTGGGACTGTTACAATAGAAACAATTCAAAGCTTGAAATATGTTCAAAGAGAGGTTTAGATTCCGAAATTTCATTTTTACAACTTTAAACCCTCGATAGGTTTGAAGTGGCTAAAGTGTCATAAACCAACTTAACGATATCCAAAGTAACTGTATAGCCGGCCTGGAAACTCTTGAAAAACATTATCAATTTGTCCAATTTACAATTTGTGTTTAGGTCATTCGTTGTTGAAAGGTTCGAGGTGTATCAGTCTTTGAATAATGCAAACAATATACCACTTAAAAGAACCACAAATGGACAGGGAAGAGGACGTCAGGACAATTATACAGACGTTTCTTTTTCAGTTCTCGGAGAAGGCGTACGGTGGGCCTTCGTTCAATCGCCCGGCTTGCTGTTTTGCGCCGCATATTTATGGAGCCGGCAAAACATTTGTAGGCCAAAACTTTTTGGCCTATTTGAATATTTTTGCAGAGCGTGAGTGTTCCAATGCACAGACTTTTCAACAACTACACAGTTCAAACGATAACCCCCAACCGAGTGAGTTGAAAGTGCCTTGGAAACACTTTGCGGAACAAACTTTGTCAGTTATCTTAGAACTAAGAGAGAGCTTTTCTGATGCTCCTTTTCCAAGGTTTCTAGAGGCTTTGTTATATAATATAATTTTGAACGCTTATCGACAAAATGGAAGAAGAAAAGATGCCGCACACGTTGCTTCAACGATAATCAGGGAACTCAACTTGGACGATGCCATAGATTATCTTCTCGAACAATTTCAGAAACAATATTTATTTTTGATGATCGACGAACTTAGCCATCTGAGTTACCTCACTAAATACTATAGTGAACTCGGCGAGGAACAGTTCATCGAGTCTGACCCAAAATATGTACCTTTTCGGAACTTCTTCCGCATTTTACGTGATTTGTTGATTACAGGGAAGGTAATTGTCTATTTGGCAGGTCGAACTGCTGAAATCTCGGCCCCCTTGTCTGATACTCGCTCCAGTAGAGTGAGTCTTCGTATGTTGCGGTTGAATCCCTTTAACCTCCGTGATATTAACGAATATATTGAGCTGGCAACTTATGATGGAAAGTCCTTGAAGGACTGGTTATTACCCTCAGATGGTATACGACATCGATTCTTAGAATTGTTGAAAAAGAAGACAGGGGGTATCCCGTTGATTTTAAAGAATACTTTACTTGCCCTAGTACGGAAAGTTGCAAACTTATCGCAACCTGCTATCAACAACGACAATATGGAACTTTTGTTAGATGGTGTCTTCCGGTCTTTACTACTACATTCGTTAACGTTTATTATTCCAGAGATACTAGATTCCGCAACCCTTCTTCGATATGAATTTGTCTTTTTGAATTATCAACTCGGAACAGTTTTCCCAATCGGATTTGCAATTACTCTATGTGGAACGAGAACTTATTTGATGGACTTGGTTGCAACTTTTGGGTTTTATTCTGAAATTTGTGAAACTGACGGGATTGATTTGGGCACTAAATTCAAGATTGGTTGTTGTGAATTTATATTGCGAGCTCATAGCAACTATAAATTTTTCCGTGAGGCTACTGAACTTTTTCCTTTATCTCCGTTTAGTTATATTCCCGACACTTCAACAGCAAAAGGAGTCTTCTTTGAATTTGTATTTATGAAGATCTTTCGTTTTCGCTTATTAACTTTTCTTCATTCTAGTTCCTCGCCTATTGTACATTCTGCTATTCCAGGAATTTTCCAGGGTTCTTTTATTGAACAGGACAATGTTTCTTATTCTATGGAATCAACAAAATCTAATGATATACCCATCTTGAGAGAGATGTCTCTGATTCATTTTCTGACCATTATGGAAAATTTTTACAACGTTGTGGTATTTTTGTTCCAAAAGATGGCAATTCGAGTGGTCCTGATGCATATGTTGTATTCCATAATGGACAAACACGTTATGTTGTTGGATTTTCATTTAAATTTTATCACAAAACTGGATTTTCGAAAACAAATATTGAGAAGGAAGCAGAACAATTTTTCCAAGAAGTTATTTCCGTTTTGAATGACGGATCTCCTTCATCTGTTCAACTTTGTTTTCAGTTTGTGGTGGTAGTTTGTACTAGATATGATCGATCTGTAGGTTTCTCTGTTGAAGAACATAATATTGTTGAAGATGCAAGTTATTTGGTTACTGAACATTCTGCAGGGTCAACTTTGAATGAAAGTAGTCGATCATGCCTGCAGTTGGTAATTGTTTCCCAAAGGAACCTTGAACGATTTTTTGGAATAGAAAATTTCGATATTTTGAGGAAAATTGGGAAAGCAAGCCGAGAAGAGTTCAGAAAAGACTTTTCAGTATGGTGTAAAACTGTCTTTGAGTCGATGTCCGATGAATATGTTTCGCCTTTGGAAGCTAAGCCATTCAATGTTACTTTAAGAGTAGCTCGAAATATAAGACCGAGAACAAATGAGGAGAATAGGATGCAAATGGAAGGTTTTCAAACTGCTATGCAAGTGGAAGAAGGAAATACACGAAGCGAACAAAGGGTTGCAGCATCCAGTTCTTTGTCTTCGTCATTTGATTGGAATACTTTCCTAAGAGACCGTTGTGGTCTTTCTGAAGAAGATGTTGCCTATTGTTTGCCCAGGTTGTCCTTCATAGGAATGATAGATTTGAGTGGCGTGACAACAGAGTTTCTTTTGAAGTGCGGTATCGATAGTCCTTCACTAAGATTGCGAATTATGTTAGGAATACGACAGTTTTTAGCAAAGTAGCTTTTATGGACTAGTTTGTGGTATGCCCATGATTTCCCTGTAGAAGATGATGGAAGCCTTGTAGAAGTCGTAGTCCTAATAAAGACATGTAATTTTTGTTTTTATCTCACTGCAAAGTCATTACGAGGTTAGTAACTTGAGATATCTTGCCAATATGCTGAGGAAGCAAAAAGCTTCTGTTTAGTTGTTCTTTATTCAGATTCATCTACAAAAGTGTTGGCAATCTATTTAGATGAACTTGCACTTCTTTTACCGTTTGCAAATGTTAGTTACGCTTCCGTAGATATGGATTTCAATTTCCTTATCGCGTTTTGGCAGGATTGTTATTGAAAAATGTTCTTGACATAACTGACGAGGATGAAAGCATATAATGTCATCAAGATAAGTATATTCATTTTTTAGAGATCACAAGGCCAAACAAAGTTCACTGAAAGAGTTCAAATGTTCTGATACGCAGTAGGCTGAATTTGCATCTGTTGAAACACGAACCAGCACGCTGTTCATTGCCACACTTGAACTTCAAGTGAACTCGACTTTGAGGTAACTTCTTTAAGGAAGATGTTCTGAAATAACACTAAATATGAATAACTTGACCCAAAGTATTATAGCTCACAAAAGAGCTTAAGGTTCCCTCTTTGTTATTTTAAACTTATTTTTCAATACTACTTATCCTTAGATAATGAAGAATCTGTTTCAAGCCATCTAAAAGCAACAATTCCCAACTTTTCATACTTAAGAAGACGATGGTTGAGTAACGAA